GGGGTGGGGGTGGGTGTTGGGGGAAGAGCGGCGCTGGTTGCGGAAATCCCAGAAGGCTGGGTGCGTTGGAATCAGAGGGAGGTAGGGGCCTCAGAGCCGAGACTAGCGGGCTAGACCTCACCTCCCCACCCCCAGCACAAAGATGACCCTGAGTGAAGCGAGGTCGCGCCTTCCGGCCCTCGCAGCGCAAAGTCCCGGCTTAATGGACAGATGATGGGCCAGCCCTGCCACCTCCTGAGCCTTCCAGCGCCCAGGGAGTCACTGTCTCGCCATCAGGCCGCCGGCCCCGGCGGCTAGGGCTAGCTTAGAGTCTCAGGGGACGCTTAGAAAGAAGAGGCGGAGCAAAGCCAAACTTGCAAGCTTAGGCTGGAGCGATCTAGAAACCTTTCTCAATCAGAAGCCCTGGCATTAGGCAGTGGGTCCTTCAGCACCTCTTCTGAGACGTCCGTGAAGTTGGCGCCCCTACAAGGACAGCGAACAAGCAGAAGAGACGTCCTTTTCCACACCGAGCTCTTATTCATCCTTAAAGACCCAATGCAAACAGCACTTCCGTGTAGATGCTTGATTTCCTCTCTGCTCCATGCTATCGCCAACACCGACTTTTTCTACTCACCGTGCTGTAAGAATCAAAATGGACCAGAACTAGCTCCTCTGCCCTCACAGAAAGTCTCAGTAAATGCCTACATCCTTGCCCTTAGTAACCCCGAAATTTTAAGTGTCACACAAGGCACACACTTCTCCACACTTGGTTTATTAGAGGGGGTCTGTTGTTCCCTCTTAAGACACAGCAGACCTTAGAATCTACCATTTCAAGAAGTGGAGTTCCAATTCAAAGTATTCTAGGCCGCTTCCGTCATGTAAAACTGAAGATCGCCCTAGCTTGAGCTCCAGATGGGTTCTTAAAAGAAATCTGCATCTTAATAGATGTTTCCTCGCTCAGAGTGGGGTTCCGAGAATTAGGCAATAAATGTTCACTATGCACTCTGAGATCATTGCTTAAAAGGTTTTCTCTCTGCCAAGTATTATTAAAAGGATTGGGTTACATCATCACAGGCAAAGACTGTGTTGTAGGACTCCCACAAATAGGAATGAAAGACCTTCTTATGAGGCTTTGGGAAACACTTTTAATCTAATAGGCCATACTCCATAAAGTTAAACTGTTAATCTCAGTTTGATGTTGTACAAGTATCATTCACAGGTACAAAATCTATGTATTACACTTTCAATAACTGAAAACCATTCAAGTATACAGAAACAAGTTGCTGAACCATCTTAGGGTTTAAGACCAAAGTTCTTCCCTTGTTCAGTGGTACCTTTAAACCATTGTAGATACAAAAGAAATTATAGGAATACAAAGCAGATATGAAATTAAGGAGCTATAAATCTTAAAGTCTATCATTTTCAGTTTTTGTCTCAGCTGATACATTAAAACAGGAAAAAACATGTCACTGAGGATGGGATTAATATTTTGAAAATTAAAAGAACACTAAAGGTCATGTCAAAAAAAAAAAACAAACCTAGCATCATGTCACAGTCCCTTGGCAATTACATTTTAAAAGCTGAGCAATCAAAAGATGCTGTTTTTATAGGCATGACTGATTAGTGTCTGCTTCCCTTATCACAAGTGCATAATAAGGGTTAAATTCATCTAAATGTCGGGTTAATGCCAATTCTTTCTAAATTTAAAAGTGGCACACAAGCAATTCTCATCACTGAGCTTCCACTTAGTAGTGGAGTTAGACCCTGGAACATTGGCCGGAATTAAATGCTACTTGAAAAGAAACATGCTAATATTTCTAAAGTAGTACTTTAAAAATAACCCTCGGAAATTTCAAATCCATTCATCCTTTGGCCTACAGATGTGAACTCCCATGCTTGGGGGAGAAGAGTACAAGCTCTAGAGTCAGGGGCCCAGCTCTAAGACGTGGTTCTATCCCATTCCAGCTGTGTGACCACTAATCCTCAAATCACTTATTTTAAACTGAGGATAACAGTTCTTGGCTTACAGAGTTTGAAGAGGATTAAAGGCAATAGAAGTTAGTAAAGTGCTTGGTTTAAATAAGTTTATCTTTGTTTTTAGAGTGTGCATACAATATACTTAAAAATACATGAAACCACTAATCATGATATATCAGATTATGTAAAGAGTACAAATGAGAATATGTGATTAAAATAAAATCCTGCAGGTTATTCCCTTCAACTGAGAAATGTCACAGGTTTGATTAATTTAATATATGAAATATTGTTTTGGGAAGGGTGGAGCAACGTTTCTGAAGCAGCTGGGAAATACTTGGTCCAGTAGAGACACTCTAACCCTGATTAGGCATCACTAAATCAGGTTACACATTCTGCATTGCCATGCCACACTGTCAGTATATATTTGGATTAATGGATTAAGAACTGACACATTCATAGTAAAGAAGAGTTACAGACAGAATTAGAGTGAGGCTTACCCTCAAATTTACTGTGTGATAACTCAGAAAAATTGTTGATTTCTACATTTAATAGAATTTCAAATATATTACCACATTGTCAAAGATATCTAAACTACTTATCTCTAAAAGTATCCACTGACTTTAACACATCAAAAGAAAAAAATCACACACATATACTTATTGGAATATGTACGTTAAAATTATGCTTCATGTTAGCTTTTCTTTTTGGCCCTTATTATTTCTAAAAGTGGAGGGCATTATTCTCCAAATCATAAAAGTGATTTGTTACACTTTTATAGTTTCATTGAATCCTTAGAGTCTATTATTAACAGGGGTCAGCAAATTTTTCTGTAAAATGCCAAACGGTAAATATTATTTAGGCTTTGTGGGCCATATGGTCTCAGTGGCAACTATTCAACTCTGCCACTGCAATGTAGAAGCAGTCATAGATAATATGTAAACAAATGAGTATAGCTGAGTTCTAATAAGACTTTATTTAGAAACACTGAAATTTGAATTTTATATAATTTTCCTGTATTATGAACGATTTTTTTGATTTTTAAAAACCGTTAAAAAGTGTAAAAACCATTTTTAGTTCACAGGTTTTCACAAGAAACAGGTGCAGGCCAGATTTGGTCCATGGTCCACAGTTTGTCAACCTCTATAAGATCAATTAAAAATGTAAGTTTTACTGGTCATTACAGGCTAATTCAATATCTAAGACAACATCAAGGATTACAGTGCTTATGACATCCTTTATTCAATTCACATAGAAAAGCATGCAGTATTGATGTAAAACAGTACAGTATTAATGTAAAATGTTCAGTGCACATTAGATAAACAAGTCATTAGCATACAAACCATTTTTAAAGGCCTATATAGGCATACCAAACATGTTTAGGATATACTTTTTCAGAGCCTAAATTAAAAATTGTGCTTAGCTCACCTATTCTCATCTCAACACTCTTCATGAAAAAAAATTCTGTCCTACATAAAAGATATTCTATTAGCCAACTAAAACTTCTTTTTCTTAAGTAAGGAAAACAGTGCAAGCAAGAATGCTACCATGCATACAGAGTTTCCACAAAGAATAGTAACATGCAAACAAGAACTTCACTCCAAAAAAAGCTCCCCTGGAATGAAAGTGGATCAAGCATTTGGCAAAGAGCGCTTCTGCACCTGTGTATCTGGAACAATGATGCTACCATGTTTAGGCTCCTCCAAACCCAACCAACCATTTTATGCCTTCTTTCCAAAGTAGGCTCAATTTCTGATTTTCAACACACACAGAAAGATGAGGAAATGAAAGCTACCTGACATAAAACAAATATTTTCATATAGAAAATGTGTTCTTTCATTCTAGCAAAACGTTCTCACAAAAACTGTACAAAACACAATGTTAAAAATGCAAACATACATATACAAAACCTAAAAAAAAAAAAAGTAAATGAATACTGGACTAATATAGAGTGCTATTTCTCAACCATGGCCCTGCCTAAAAGTTGAGCCATCACTAAATATAAATAAAAAAGGGCAGGCAAAATTATTCCCACCCTAGGAAAGCTTTAAAGAAACTCAAGTGTCTTATGAGCAGTGTGTAGACAACCCAAAAAGTTTTATTTAAGAAATCCAAGTTCTGAAGACAACCGAGGCTCATTAATAGGCCACTGTATCTAATACCTAAATCAAGACCCAGGAAAACAAAATACACCCAAACCAGATACATATAATATTCATTAAAAGAAACCCTCTCCCTATCTTTTATGTTTAAAAAGATGCCCAAATGAAACTGAAAAAGGACAAATTCTTTAAAATGAACAAAAGTATTTTGGTTACAGGCTAATCCACCATTCTGACTTGACACTTGACTACAGACTATCAATTCAAAATCATATAGAACTTTTATGAGGGAAAAAAGTAACTTTAAAAACTTATATTCCTCTCAGGACAAAAACATAAATGACACCTTTCTAATGAGTCAACTTTTAGTTGCTTTTGATGGGCTGGCATTGGAAAGACTGCTCTGGATTTTTCTTTTTGTTGACTGATTCATATTTTTATTCCTCTTCTCAGGCACAAAGGAAGTAGACCAAGGAGACTGAAGGTGGTTATGAAGACCATGCATCTCTGAGGTCATTTTAAATAAAGATGACCCAAACCTCTGATCTTCAAATAGCCGGTGTGAACTGCTTAACAAAACACCCTGGGAAAACTCAGTCTGAAACAAACAGCTTGGGGGTTTGATTTCATTAGTTCCTGGGTTAGAACTGGTATGGAGAGAAAAATCTTCATTCATTTCTTGGTCAGATGGAGAGAGGAGAAAAAAAGAAGTGGGTTTCCAGTCATTTCCATTTTCTAACTGATCAGTAGTTAGAGAACCTTTGGAAAGGTTTGGCTTAGTTCTTTCTTCCAACTTATCTGGTTCCTCAAGAAATTCACTGCCTTGAGATGACTTTGATAACCCATCTAAATCCACTGACTTAAAACCATTATTACAAGGGCTCTTGCTGTTGTCTGATTCCGACATCATTGAATCCAACTCAGAGATTTTGTCAAGGTAAGCTGCGTCCATGGATGCTTCACTGGATGTTCTTGTCCGATTCATTTCAAAAGAGCGAATAGAATTTAACCTCTTAGATAAGCATGAGCCTGATTTCTCACTTAATTTTAAAGAAATTTCTCCAACAGAATTTGCTATTGTGTTCCCCTCTGAGCTTTCAAAATCCAAGTTTTGGGCATAGCTTGTGGAACAACAGTCCCAAAACCCTGTCTCTGAGGAAGTAAAACACTCTGATTTCTTTTCATTTTCACTTCTATCATCTTCTGATGAATCTTTATTACAAACATTTGGAGAATCACAAAAATCATCAAACACCAATTTTCTGAGATGGTTTGAGTGCTTTTTGGAACCTACCGCTTTGACTACAGAGCTCTCTCTATTTTCTGGAGTACTGAGCTGAAGGCAACTAAGGGACAAAGGAGTACAAGGAGCTGGAAGATCATAAAGTTCTTCATCTTTGTAGGGTATACAATCACTTGGCTTATTACCCCATTCTCTTTCCAAGTAAGTATCCATACTTGTATCTGTCACATCTAACATTATTTCCACCTGTTTCTGATATAGGTCTTTATTCTTAGAACAATTTGGTTCTGTTTTGCTGGTGCTTTCCTGCCTGGCAGAACTGCTAGAAGGTTTTGGCAGGTGAGAACTAGAGGTGGATGAGCCAAGCTGCTTTCTGGCACCATCACCTTGATTCTTTGATGCCATATCCTCCTCGTTACCTATGCTCCCCTTGCCATCTGTAGAAAGTGCTCTCTGGCAAATGGAATTCATAGCTTCCTTCTCTTCACTTGAATTTTTTAGCTGTGCAATTTGAGATTCTAGTTCCTCTATATACTTATCACTTCGTTCCAGGGCTTTCTTGAGGCGATTGGTTTCACGTTCATGTTGTTCTACTTTGGACTGAAGAGCAGCTACTGTAAACCTTCCAAACCTGCAAGGAATAGAAAGATAATTAACTTTACAGTTGCAAGCTTTTTCTTTCCTTTTCAAAGTTTAAGAGTGCAAACTGTCTCAACCCATTTCAATTTCACATACCAGTGACATTTCAGACCACTCCATGAACAGGTCAAAAGCAATGCCAGATGTAGTATCTTCAGAAAAGAGTTTTTCCATTTTATGTAACGATATGCATATGATAACAATGGCAAAGATCTAATAGGATACTTTTGTGGTCAAATCAGATTAGCTGTGGCAGAAAGGCAGAAACTCACTGCTGACTTCCCTTCCACGAGCTAGCTCTCTCAATTCAGCTCATATATGCATGCAGGGTTATCCCCTAAAACAATGGCAAAGATTTATGATAACATTTGAACAGTGGTCCACATCTTGAAATATTTACATTCAATCATTTTCCTATCGTACAGCAGTGTTTTACAATACATTTCTTATACAATGTCACCTTGTCAAACATAAAATGCCAATTTGAAATTCAGAAATCTTAGCAGTCCCAGCAGGGGTAGTTTTAAGTACTTATTTGGACCCTTTCAATTATAGCCACTCTTGATCTGAAGCTTTTACTTGGCCTTTCTGAACACTGGGCTTTAATTCATTCCAGCTCTACTTATTTTTGGCATTTTACAACTGTGTGGGACATCAATCTCATTTCTTCCAACTTTGAAATACAAAGTCAGTGCTTGTGGTTCCAATATATTACACATAAAAACATTTTCACATTTTCTGAAAAGGAACATTTTGGAGAGTAACTGAAAAAGAACGTATCAAAAATTCACTTCTTTTACTAGGATTATCTTGTTTTCATTATTCCCTTAAGAATGGGTACTGGGGGGTGTCTGGATGGCTCAGTTGGCTGGGTGACTGACTCTTGATTTATGCTTGGGTCGTGATCTCAGGGTCGTGAGATTATAAGCCCTGAGTGGTGCTCTGCCCTCAGCGTCTTTTCTGCTTGAGATCCTCTCCCTCTGGCCCTCCCCTTGCATGCTCACTCACACGCTCTCTCTCTAATAAATAAATAAAAATAAATCTTTAAAAAAAAAGGGTACTAGGTTCAGCTCAGAAAACGGTTCTGAGCACCCAGTATGGGCTGATGGTATATCTGGAGCTGGGGATACAAAGATCAGTAAGACTGTCCCACCCCAATGGATATAAAATGTCTACCTTAAATTCCATCAGAACATCAAAGAAAATTCTATCTTTTAAGAAACTGCTTCTTATGAGCCAATACACATAAGCCTTGCATTCTAACCCCATGAAAAATACTTTTCTCCATAAAAGTTCTTTTAAGAAGCCTCTTTCTATAATCTTTTTGATGACTTAAATATTGACCCATCTTTTTTTTTTTAAGATTCCGTTTATTAGAGAGAGAGAGGGAACACAAGCAGGGGGAGTGGGAGAGGGAGAAGCAGCCTTCCCATGAGCAGAGAACCCGACGCGGGGCTCGAACCCAGGACCCTGGGATCATGACCTGAGCC